AATTATGCTAAAAAGCTTTAAAACAATAGTCTCCCTCTCCTCTTTTCCCTTCCTTATCCAAGTCCAGAACAGAGGGACAGAATTGACAGCATGGAGAGAAGACAAAGAATGCAATCAGTGGTGGGAAAAACTGCAACTAGTGATGCGGAATAGCTGATAGACAAGAATGCTTTAAATGTGGAACAGATCATAAATAGCAGAACATTTTTCAACTTTTCAACTTTTAATATGTTTCTTCTGGAACATACCTCCATATTTATAAATAATATCCAGATATTATAAATTGATCCAACAATTTTAGATATCTGCTGATTTCCTTGTACAGCATAAGAGGTTTTTAGCATCCTTAAACCTTTCCCATTCCCTGTCCCCCTTACCCCCATCTAAAGGAGAGTTCTGTTTTGTTTTTAATATGGGAAATATTCATGTATGGAATGAAAGATATTTGATTTAGTTGTGTTCCATGGACAATGGCTTTATTTCTAAACCAAGACCGTGGAACACATTAGCCTAAAGTGCACCAAACGGGAGTATAAAAAATATCTGTCACCTCTTTTGGTAAAAACAATTCAAAACACTGTTGATTGATGATAGGGAATGGGTAGCCTTTTTAGTATTTTGATGAAATATTCTGCTATTTATGAACACTAGTTGCAGTTTTTTCCCCCATTGATTGCATTCTTTAAATTGTCTTCTCTCCATGCTGTCAGTTCTGTCCCTCTGTTCTGGACTTGGCATACCAACTTAGAGTACCAAGAAGTTCTTTTTATCTGCTTTTATGCTTTTAGAATAGTATGTCCTAGCCAGCACCATGGCATAGTTTTGTTTGCTAAATTTTGTATCCTTTCCTGTATCCTTTCCTCTAAAGACTGCTGAAACTATTTGGCAAAACTATGCTTACCAGTTAGAAATGGCTGCTTTCTTACATAAAGTTGCCTTGACACTTTTTAATCAAATTACAGTTTCAACTCAGTGTTCCAGGATGATTTTAAGACCTACATGGAAAACGTGTATCTGAGAGACAGGTTGGTTTCCTTTATGGTCTAAGGACAGTTCCCACATCTTTTTTCTAATAATTGCTTTGACATATGACTGTATTTCAAGGTGCATTCTTTTTTTTT